CCCTATTCCCTCCTCTCTCTCCTCCCTCCCCCTATTCCCTCCTCTCTCTCTTCCCTCCCCCTATCCCTCCTCCCCCCCCCCTACCCTATCGCCGCCCCCCCCCCCTTTTCCCCTCCGGCCTCCACCTACTTGCTATTCTGCACCAGGTAGTCGATGATCTTGGCGAGCACCTTCTCGAAGAGCGCGACCCGAATCCACAGGTACCTTTGGCAGCCCGCCGCCGGCCCCGAGTTCTTCTTGACAAGGGGCGGCTTCCCCAGGCGGGAGCTCGAGTCGCCGCTGCCGCTGCTGCGTCTGCGGGAGGAGGGAGAGGGATTAGTAGGGGGGGGGGGGGGGTATTTGGGTATTGGGTGATATTAATTGGGGGTGGGGGGTGGGGGGTTATTGGGGTATGGGTTATGGCGGCGAATGGGTAATGGTTAATGGGAGATCATGGGGGGGGGGGATACTGGATGGTGGTGATCAAATAGGGACATGGGTAATGGGGGAGGGATATACGAGGGGGGAAAGGGGGGGGGGTGCGGTTAATGGGGGCACGAAATAGGGAGAGTGAAAAGGGGGAAGTGGTGGTTAATGGGTAGGGGAAGGGGACAGGCGTGGTATATTAGGGTTATAAGGCATGAATTGGGTTGGTCATTAAGGGACGGAACGGCGGACAAGAGAAAATGAGGACGAATAAAATTGAAGAGCGAGTTAGAAGGGTTGATAATTGATGACAAGGTTGATGATGGCGACGATAACGACGACAAAGTGAATAAACACAATACAAACCATAATGATAACGATAACAATACTCACAACACTGATGATCATAACGGTAACAATATCACCACTATTACACCCGAGAAAATAATCAAATAAACACAGATCAATGAATAGAAGAATAAATGGACCACACATAAAAGGAAGAAAAAAAAAAACACAGAAAGAAATCACAGAAAAAAATAAAACATGAATAAACGCGTAGAAAAAAAAAGACGATGCATGAATGACCCATAATAGATATAACGACAGGGAAATATATAGCATGAATGGGAAAAAAAAACACAAACAAGAACATTACGAGGAAATGGACGTAAAGAAAGAAACAGGATACTTATATAAATAGAGGGTAACACTCACAGATAATGGATAATGGATAATGGATCTAGAAAATGGACAATTGGATTGATAAGACTGACATTGGCAAGAGGAGGAGATACTGAATGATGCTAGAAGGTTACGAAAAATTGGTTGCAAAGAAGCTGACAGGTTTATTGCGAGGAGGTATTAAGTTTGGTATTTGGAAAGGATAATGAATGGGTTCTTGGGAATTAGGTGATGATGGTGGTAATAATGTTATCATGATGATGATTTTGATTATCCCGTCACCATCAAACACCATCATACTAATAGTAATGGTGATGATGACGATGGCGATCATGGTGGTGTTGGTGATGGTGATGATGGTGATGATGATGATGACGATAGCAATACTACTTAGACTAATAACAGAAACCCATAAAACGTTTTCCCTATATTCATGGACCATAAAGCATACAATAAACAGCGTTTATCGACAATAATGGCGGAGTAAGCATCACAACATGAATGCATTTCATTCATCTTTGAAGAAACGATCACAGAGAGGCGCAAAAGGACCGTCTTTTTCTTTCCTCTCTGTCCTCCTCTTCGTCTCTTCTTTGAGTCTCCCTTTTATCCTTTATATCCTTCTCTTCTTCTCCTCCTTCTCTTTCCTTCGTAAGTCTTTATTCCTCTTACGTAAACGAATATTTACCAATATTTACTCGTTTTGCCTATGAGCGACCACTCAACCATAAACTACAATAGCTGGAAGACACAAACAAGAGAGAAAACAAAAACGACTGAAAAAAATTAAAAGCAAACAAACAAACCGGGTGGAATATGTAGCCACATAAATCAACAGCATAACATTACACAAATCAACAGCCTGGCATTACGCAAATCAGCAGCATAACATAAAACGAGGTGCTATATCCTTCCCTCCCTAATAACGCGTCACATTTGGAGGATTACTGCCCCCTCCCCCTCCCCTCTCCCTTCCCCTCTTTACCCTCCCCCCTTCTCCCTCCCATTCCCTTCCCTTCCCTCTCCTTTCCCCCTCTTACTTCCCTCCCCTCCCCCCTCTCTCTTCCCTTCCCTTCCCTTCCCTTCCCTTCCCCTCCCGTCCCCCCCATCCCCCCCACAAGCTTTCCGACCAGGTCAACAAATCTCGCGTTCTGACATGAAAGGCCCGGAGCACGTCACCCTAGCAGACGCACAGACGAAGGCCCTCCCCCGAGGCAGTGGTCCTTTGTTCAGGCTCGGGTCTCAGTTAAGGTACGATCAGGTTCTCATCTGGTTTCGTTTTTTTTTTTTTTTTTTTTTTTTAGGGCAGGTGCGTTCAGGTTCAATCTTAGGGCAGGTTACGTTCAAAGTCTGCCTTCAAGTTCAATCGTAGGTTCGATCTTGGGTCAGGTTACGTTCAAGATTTTCCTTCAGGTTCGTTCTCAGGGCAGGCGCGTTCAAAATCTCCTTCAAAATCAATCTTAGGTTCGACCCCGGGACAGGTAAGTTCAAATTCTCCTTGAGGGTCAATCTTCGGATAGGTACGTTGAAGTTCGAGACAGATCAACAGACAAAAATGTAAATTTTGTCTTTAAGTAAACTAAAGTAAACTCAAGTAAACATTAAGGTTCTTGAGTGACGATTGGCAACTGCTTAAAATATGGAACTCGATGTGTCATCTGTAGTTTCCAATGCAAGAATAAAGCTTCCTGGATCAGGCTACTAACTCATAAAATAACTTAACTATTGACTATAATCAAACGCATTTTTCTCGAAGATCCTCAAATAAATGATCTATATAAAAAATCGTACCTTTCTGTACAGCAAAAATCATTTCATTTTTTTCAGACGTACTCTATCGCACCAGCGAACGAATGCCTGGCCATAGTGAAAGAAGAAGAAAGATAAATGGAAGACGAAGAAGAAGAAGACGAAAAAGAAAACGAAGAAGAGGCAGAAGAAGAAAGGAGATGATGACGAAAAAGAAGAAGAAGAAGAAGAAGAAGAAGAAGAAGAAGAAGAAGAAGAAAGAAAAAGAAATAAATAGATGAAGAAGAAGACGACGAAAAAGAAGAAGAAGAAAAAGAAGAAGAAAAAGAAGAAGACGAAAAAGAAGAAGACAAGAAAGAAGAAGAAGAAGAAGAAGAAAAAGAAGAAGAAGAAGAAAGAAGAAGAAATAAATAGACGAAGAAGAAGACGACGAAAAAGAAGAAGAAGAAAAAGAAGAAGAAAAAGAAGAAGAAGAAAAAGAAAAAGACGAAAAAGAAGAAGACGAAAAAGAAGAAGAAGAAGAAGAAGAAACCAAGAGAAACTTTTTCGAAATAGTGCCCACCAGCGCGTTCTCTACGACCTGCGTGTTCTGCGTGTTTTCCTCAGGGATAATTGTTGTTCTGTATTTATGACTCTGTTAAGAATAACGACAAAGTAATTACTAAGAAAAAGGAAAACAGCAACAGAAAAAAATATTACTAATAATAATCATCATTGTAACAATAATAATAGCAAAAGCAACCACAAGGCAACAGTTAGTATTAGTATTAGTGGTTGTGATATTACTATCATTATTTTTACCATTATCATCCTTATTATTTATTATCATTATTAGTGTTATTATCGTTACCATTATTATCATTATCGTGAGTACCATTATCATCATCATCATTATTATTATTACCATTATCATCTTTGTACTCATCATTATAATAACCATTATTATTATAATCATAATAACACTTACTGATAATGATGATAATTCTAATAAAAGAATAACAACAACATCAGCAATAAAAGACAATAATGGATGTGGTAGTAGTAGAAGCAGCAGCAGCAGTAGTAGTAGTAGTAGTAATAATAGCAGTAGCAGTAGTAGTAATAGTAGTAGTAGTTGTAGTGGTAGTAATATTACTATGCGCATCATCATCATCGTCATCGTCATCATCATCGTCGTCATCATCATCATCATCATCATCATCATCATCATCATCATCATCATCATCATCATCATCATCATCATCATCATCATCATCGTCATCGTCATCGTCATCGTCATCATCGTCATCATCATCGTCATCATCATCATCATCATCATCATCATCGTCATCGTCATCATCATCATCATCATCATCTTCATCATCATCGTCATCATCATCATCATAATTATTACCCTTATCATTTATATCCTCCTCACAATAACAACAATTATAAGAATGATGACTAAAATAAAAGTAGCAATTGCAACGCAAGCAATAACAATGTAATAAACAACATTAATCCAACACTCATAACGATAACACAATAACAACAACAACAACAACCAACAAACCCAACAGAGAAAATTACGATAAAAAAGAACATTGTCATCCATTCAATAAACATTTCAGTCCGACCAAATTACAACGAAAAGTATTTAAAAAGAAGCAATAATTAAAAAAAAAAAATCAACACAGCTCTTGCAATTATAGAAAATTGCGCTCCCGCTTCATAAATTCCACTAACGGGGAAAAATTAAGACATAATATATGACGGAGGTTCTTACTTTACATTATATGTTGTGTAATAGATCTTGCAAAATAATATATAGTATGGTACAAGAGAGAGAAAGAAAGAGGAAGAGGAAGAGGATAAGAAAGAGGAAGAGGAAGAGAGAGAGAAAGAGGAAGAGAGAGAGAAAGAGGAAGAGAGAGAGAAAGAGGAAGAGAGAGAGAAAGAGGAAGAGAGAGAGAAGAGAGAGAGAGAGAGAGAGAGAGAGAGAGAGAGAGAGAGAGAGAGAGAGAGAGAGAGAGAGAGAGAGAGAGAGAGAGAGAGAGAGAGAGAGAGAGAGAGAGAGGGGGGGGAGAACCAGGGGGTAAGAAGAGAAGGGGGAGCAAGAAAGTGGAAGTGAGAGAGGAAAGGAGAAAGAGAGAGGAAGAGGAAAAAGGAAGGGAGAAAGGGAGAGAGGGACAGAGAGAAAAAAATAAAAGAAAGAAAGAGAGAAAGGGAAAAAAAGGAAGAAAGAGAGAGAAGAGAGAGAGAGAGAGAGAGCACATTACCAGCCTTTCATCGTCACCAACCCGTCCTACTTCTGATCTCTCCCTCCCTCCACCTCCCTCCCCCCCCTCTCCACCTCCCCCCCCCCCCCACCGCCTATCCATACGTTAATACCTCAAATTCTTCCCCGATAGTAAAGGCCGCTTCGACTCCATTAACTTCCCGCGTAACCCGCTAAAATGAACACCCCCCCCCCCACTCCCCCACTCCTCCCTTCTTCCTTTACCCCCTCCTAAGCCCTCTCGTGTTCCATTACCCGCCCCCCCCCCCCCCCCGCCTCTTCTATCTCTTCTCCTTTGTCGTTTTTCCCCTCCTTCCCCTCTCCTCCTTCTCCTCTTCTCCTTCCCTCCTCTCTCCCTTTCTTTTTTTCCCCTCTTAGTTTTTTTTCATTTCTCATTCCATTCTATTATCCCCAAACTTCCACTTCCTCCTTTCTAAATACTTCTTCATTTTTCTCTCCTCTCTTTCTTCCTCCTCCCTTTTCCCTCCTTCCTTTCCCCCTTCGCTTTCCTTCCTCTTTCTCTTCGCCTTCCCCTTCACTTTCTCCCCCTCCTCTCTCCCTTCCACATATTTTCTCCTCACCCTCTTCCTCTTCCTCTTTTTCCCCCCTATCCCCTTCCCCCTCCTCTCCCCTCTTCTCCACCCCCCCTATCTCCTCCCTCTTCCTCCCCTCCTCTCTCCTTTCCTCCTCCTCTTCCCTTTCCATTCTCCTTCTCCTTCCTCTCCCCTCCCCATAACCCTCTTATCCCCTGCCCCCCCCCCCTCTAATCTCCTCACCTGCACCCCCCCTCCCCCCCACCCCCCAATCCCGAATCCCGACTCCTATTCGCGGCTTTCCATCCATCTCCTTCACGGCCGAGAAGTCTCAAGCGATCCAATATTCTTGCGGGGGCGATGGGCGTGCGGGCGTGCGGGCGGGCGGGCAGGCGGGCGGGCGGGGATTCTTTAGTTGTTTGCTGAAATTGGAGTCTCGATTTTTTTTTTCTTTTTCTTTCTTTCTTTTTTCTTTCTTTCTTTCTTTCTTTCTCTCTTCCTCTCCCCCTCTCTCTCTCTCTGTCTGTTTGTCTCTCTCTCTCTTCTCATTTTCGCCGGTTTACCCTTTGCTTTCTCTTTCTTTTTCTCATTTCCCCCCTCATTTTCCTGTTGTTTCCTCTTCGTTTCTCTTTCATTATTTCTGTCTTGTTCTTTCTTGATTTCTCATTCTCTTTCTTCCTTTCCCTTTTCTCTCTCGATCTTTTCTCGTTTCCCCCTTTACTCCCCTTTCTTTACTATGCTCCTGGATTATTATTTGTTTCTTTCCCATTCTCTTTCTCTTTCTCTCTCCCCTTTCCCTTGTTTTCTTCGTCTCTGAAATTATCATTCCTTTTCCTCTCTTTCCTTCCTTTTACTTTTTTTTTATCATTTTGTTTTTTGTTTTTTGGTTAGTTCTTCCGCCTATCAATTTCTTTTTTTCTTTCTTTTTACTTCACTTTCCTTACTCTTTCTCTTTCTTTCGTTCCACCTCTTTCATCTGCCGTCGGACTGTTTCCCATTTTCCATTATTCTCTCTTTCTTTCCTTTCTCTCTTGAATTATTTCTCGCTATCCCTTGTTCCTTATTTCTTTAGACTTCCCTCGTTTTTTTCTTTTTCTCTTCCTTTCACTTTACTTCTTCCCTTCATTTTCACCTTTCGTTATCATTTTTCCCATATCCTTTCCTTCTACATTCTACCTAGTTATCTGAATACTTATCTATCTATCTATCCATCTATGTGTTAATCTATCCATCTAAGAGAAAAAAGTTAAACATCTAACCTATATCTTTTTCTCATTTTCTTTCTCTCTTATTTCTTATGCCTCTTATTTATCTATATTTTTTTCTTAAACTCTAATCTATCTAATTTACTACACTCTCTATCTATTTACATATATAACCATCAATTCATATACCTAATCTAACGTCTGTCTACATTTCGTAAAAAACAAACAAAAAACAACTCATTATATCTAAATATATATAGACAGAAAGAGAGAAAGAAAGAGAAAAGACAGAGGAAGAGAAAAAAAAACAAACATAAAAATAAAGACAAGGAAAACCATCCCCCAAAAAATGCTAGAAAAAAATATATATAATATAAAATAAATAAATAAACAGGAAATACATTACAAGGAAAATATTTCCAAGTGACAGATCAAACAGACAGCGTTCCAGACAACTCCTCAAGGCGTTAAAATAAGAATCTTTGACACCCGATCTTAAAACAGCATCAAACAATAAATGAAGGAAGAAAAAGAAAGAAAAGAGAAGATAAAAAAAAATATGCACAGCTTCAAAACGTTCCAAGATTGAAATAAAAACGTTCAGGGAAAAAATAAAAAAAATAGAACTATCTCCAGGAACAAAATTAACCCTTAAACTGATTTCCCAATGGACATCTAGAGCCGACAATAGTAAACTTTAAATCATAAAACATGAAATATAAAAAAAAATAAAATAAAATAAAAAGAAGAGAGTAAAGTAACAAATGTTCGAAAAAAGAGAAAAAAAACTTTCCATGTGACAAAAAAGCCAGATTTTATCATAACTCGTAGAATAAGATGTTATAAATGATATCAAACAGAGAAATAAAGTGGGGGGAAAAAAGGAAAAGAAAAGGAAAAAAAAAATAGCAAAAGATATACGCCACATTGTCCGAACGTTAAAAAATAAATAAATAAATAAAAAAGATAAATTAAAAATCCTCTCGAATTGAAAAAAAACATAGGTAACGACAGCGACTTTATCCATCCCTTCCTTTAAAAAAAATCTTCAAGCGAAAAAGCGCCCGAGCGGGACCAAAGCTCCAGTGCAGAACAAGAGAAAAAATACAGAAAAAAAACAATTCAGAACAAAAATCCTCCATACAAAACCATCCAATATAGATAAAAAACAACAACAACAACAGAAAAACGCCCCTCAAAAATATATATATACATACATAATACATAATATATGTACATATATGTACATACATATACAAATACACACACACACAAACAAAAAATATCACAAAACAAACAAACAAAAAAAAAAACAATGGATACATTACAGAACAACCCGCCCCTCTCATGCAGAACACCCCCAACCCCCTCCCCCCCTCCCCTACCAACTGACCTCCCGAGCTCCGTGCACTCCAGGTCTTGCACGATCTTGGACACCTTGCAGGCTGGTTCGAAGGACTTGCCGACCTTATGGATGAGCGCTGTGGTCGAGGACGTCTTGAACAGGCCGAGGGTCCTCCGCTTTAGCCCGTGGGAGAGGCAGGACTCGACGGCGCCTTTGGGAGAAAAGAAGGAGAGAGAGAGACATTAGGCTTTTTTTTTTTTGGGGGGGGGGGGGGGTGAATAAAATGGAGGCAAAGAGAGGGATTGGGGTCTGTTTATTTACTTTTATTATTATTGTTATTGATGGCATCGTTAGAGTCATCATCCTTATGGTATTAATAGTATTATCATTCCGTTAGAAATTTTCTATAATAACATAAATTTCAATAAGTATGAAAACGACGAAATACCACCAATAAATACACAAATAAACAGAAAAAAATAAAAATAAAACATTAAAAATCAAATATCGAAAGCTTCTCTGAAATCGATTTTTTGAAATCTAAGAAACGAGTGGATGAAAGGGTAGAAGCCGGAGAAGAGGACGGAAGGTAAACGAATTAAGGGAGAGGGAGAGATGGGGAACTCTCAAGGCATGAAGGGGGGGGGGGGTGCAGTGGTCAGAAAGGGGGAGAAAGAGACAGAGGGAGGGAAAGATAGAATGAGAGGGAAAGAGAGGGAACTCTCGAGGCATGAAGGGGGGGGGGGGGCAGTAGTCAGAAAGGGGGAGAAAGAGAGAGAGGGAGAAGGAGAGCTAGAATGTGAGGGAGAGAGAGGGAGGGAGAGAGAGAGAGAGAGGGGGAGGGAGGGAGGAAAGAAGGAAGGAAAGAAGGGAGGAAAGAATGGAGGAAGGAAGGGAGGGAGAGGGAGAGGGAGAGGGAGAGGGAGAGGGAGAGGGAGAGAGAGAGAGAGAGAGAGAGAGAGATGATAAAGTCAGAAATCGATATGACGGTATTTCAAGCAAAAATACCGTAAAATGACAATAAGGAAAGGGAAGACAATGAATAATAAACAAAGAAAAAACAATAAAGAATAACCAAAGACAACAGCAACAAAGACAATAAACAAGAAATAACCAATAAATAACAAAAATAATAAACAAGAAACAAAAATGAAGACAAACAAACAAAGAGAAAACCGCAGCACGAAATGTAAACACCACACAACCACATAACATAAAATACTTTCACCCCCCCCCTTTTTACAGATAGACAAAGCCACAAATGCAACGCTATTATTTCAAACGAAAACCGACGTAACAGCAATTAATTCATTAACGTAAAAATGATAAGCTAATATCAAAGTACACAATTTTCGGGGCTAACGAAATAAAATTACTTTACACGACAACAAATCCATTAACTAAATAGACGTCCATGAAAAAAGAATTACAATGTCGACTGCAGATTTTATATTTTCACTTCCCGAGGGAGAGACTGCATCTGGGACAAGGCATTTGGTCAAATATATCAGATGGATCTTCCCTTAATAGTATGTAGGTGTAAATGTAGATGTGTTTGGAATATATCTATATATATGCATATATATATCTATATATATGCATATATATATATATATATATATATATATATATATATATATATATATATATATATATATATATATATATATATATATATATTATTTATTTATATACACACACACACACACACGCACACAGACACACACACATGTATGTACACACATCTATACAAATGTATTCACATGCAAAATATAACTCTAGATTTGAAATGAATTCATCAGCTTTGATCAACTTCATCCCGCCCTTTATTTCCCGAGATTCTTCCGTAACTTGAAAAGATCACGGACTCCAGGATTTTACTTTTCGGGATGAGAAAACGGAGATAAAAAAAAGAAAGAGAAAGAAAATTTTTGCCGCGTCCCCGAGACCTAAACATGGCGGGAAAAGCAGGCAAGAACGCAACGCCAGGTTTACGTTTTCAAATCTTTTCCTTGGGCGATTTCTTTTTATCTTTTTTCCTTTTTTTTCTTCTCTCCTTTTACTTTCTTTTTTTCTTGTTCTTCTTTATTCCGTTTATTCTTTCTTTTTATTTATTTTTTCTTTCTGTTCTCGTTTTTCTTTCTTTTCTCGTTTTTCTTTCTTTTCTCGTTTTTCTTTCTTTTCTCGTTTTACTTTATTCCATTTTTCTTTCTGTCCTCTTTTTTTCTTTCTTTTCTATTTTTTTTTTTCCTTGCTATTTTCTTTATTCCGTTTTTGTTTGTTTCTTTCAGCAGTTCTCAAATCTTCCTGAGGCTCCATTTTCCTGGCTGTGTGTTCCGTCGCCTTCTATTTTCCCTTCTCAAATGTAATTCCTTTTTTCTTTCGGCCTGTTTCTTATTTTCTTTCTTACTGTTTCTCTCTTTGGCTTTACCTGGTAGTCTATCTCTACCCTCCCTCCCCCCCTCCCTGCGTCCCTTCCTCCCTTTCTTTCTATGGTGTGTGTGTGAGATAAAGATAGAGAGATAGATATATAGATAGACAGATAGATAGATAGATAGAGAGAGAGAGGTAGAGATAGAAGGGAAGGGAGGATAAGAGAGAGAGAGAGAGAGAGAGAGAGAGAGAGAGAGAGAGGAGAGAGAGAGAGAGAGAGAGAGAGAGAGAGAGAGAGAGAGTGTGTGTGTGTGTGTGTGTGTGTGTGTGTGTGTGTGTCTTTCTTCCTCAGCCTCCCTCCCTCCCCCTCCCCTTCCCTCAACCACCACCACCAATACCAATACCTTTACCAATATTACAAATCTACGAAGAAGAAGAAGAAGAAGAAGAAGAAGAAGAAAAAAAAAAAGTTTCCCCTCTTGATAAGCGTGACTCCCTCGCCACTTCCCTCATTTTCTCTGTCCTTCTTCTTAAAACGTTAATGGAAAAAATATTTTTACGTGTCTCTCTCTATTTCCCCCTTTCTCATTTTCTGCTTCATTTGTCTGTCTGTGAGTGTGTGCGTGTGTGTGGGCGTGTGTGGAGTGTGTGTTGAAGAGTTTGTATGAGTGTGTAAGTGTGCGTGTATGTATGTGTGTGTGTGTGTGTGTGTGTGTGTGTGTGTGTGTGTGTGTGTGTGTGTGTGTGTGTGTGTGTGTGTGTGTGTGTGTGTGTGCGCGCGCGCGCGCGTGCGTGATTTCGTGTGTGCGTGAGTTCGTGTCTGCGTATGCGTGTATGTCTGTGACTATATTTTAGTGTGCGTGTATGAAAATAAACATATTCTTAGTCACCTACAAAAACTCCAAACACGAATCAAAGGAAATGACCGCCTTTGTTCATAGCAGCGATGAAGGAGTCAAGGTTCAAACAACATGTTCGTAAGCGTTAAATCCTGCGATAATGAAGCCGTGGCCAGACACGCTTTCGAACGCGTGAATCTCGGAAACCAATATCGCGGGAAAATATTTCAAAATCTGTTTTTATGCCGAGTTTCATATTATTATTAAAACGTATTTTTTTCTGGCGGGAAAAGAAAGACTTTAATTTGATTGTTTATTATATATTCTCGGTGCACGGCAGCTCCCAAGTAGGGTTTCCGGCATTCAATATTCTAACGATAAAAAGAAGTAAAGTGAATTGAAATAAATTAATCAACACGATAAAATAAATCAATTACCATTAAAAAAAAAATAGAACGATAACATTCCTCACCCCCCCCAAAAAAAAAGAAAGAAAGAAAAAAAAAACACGGAAAAAAATAATAAAAATGCGTCGCTCTTAATCACCTTCCGGAACATTTTAATGAAATGCATTTACGCTCAATTCTGAATTAAATGGATTAAAAGAAACCAGTACATGTGCCATTGAACACAAGAGAGAGGGAGGGAGAGAGGGAGGGAGAGAGGGAGGGAGGGGGAGAGGGAGGGGGAGAGGGAGGGGTAGGGAGAGGGAGGGAAAGAGAGAGAGGCAAAGAGAAAGAGAAAGAGAAAGAGAGAGAGAGAGAAAGGGAGGGAGAGAGAGAGAGAGAGAGAGAGAGAGAGAGAGAGAGAGAGAGAGAGAGAGAGAAAGGGAGAGAGGGAGAGGGAGAGAGTATGAGAGAGAGAGAGTATGAGAGAGAGAAAGAAAGGGAGAGAGAAAGGGAGAGAGGGAGAGGGAGAGGGAGAGAGTATGAGAGAGAGAGAGAGAGAGAGAGAGAGAGAGAGAGAGAGAGAGAGAGAGAGAGAGAGAGGGAGGGAGGGAGGGAGGGAGGGAGAGAGAGAGAGAGAGAGAGAGAGAGAGAGAGAGAGAGAGAGAGAGAGAGAGAGAGAGAGAGAGAGAGAGAGAGCGAGAGACAGAGAGGGAGAACAAGACAGAGACAGAGACAGAGAGAGAAAGAAAGCGAGAGCGCAAGAGGAGAGAAAAAATATATACAAAAAAAAATATATATATATACAAAAAAAAAATAAAAATAAAAAAAACCCAGTGATTATGAAGTCCAAGTGACGTCAATCACTGAGCAGTAATCAAGCCATCACACAAAGCCGCGTCCGAAAGCCGTGGCGGTGGAGGGGCGTGGGGGAAGGGGGGGGGGATAATGGCAAGGGGAGAGAGAGAGAGAGAAAAAAGAATGATAAAGTTGAGCAAATAAATGTAAATAAAAAATGGAATAAATATATTACAAAAAGAGAAAAATAAAGTTGGAGAAAAAGTAGTAGTGGTAGCAATATCAATAATGATAATGATAATTATACTAAGACTAATGATGATGATAATGATGATAATAATAACATCAATAATAATAATGATAATAATAATAATAATGATAACAATAATCATAATAACAGTGTCAATAACAGTGACGATGATAACAAAATCAATAATAATAATAATGATGATTATGATAACAGTAACAACAAGAAAACCAACAATAACAATAATAACAATAATAATAACAATAATAATAACAATAATAATAATAATATTAACAAAAATAACAATAATAACAATAATAATAACAACAATAAAGGTGATGATGAAAATAATGGCGTAAAAAAACGAAACTAATTCATAAATAAGTACAAAAAAAGGGGAAAGTGTATGAAAAGGAAGAAAAGAAAAGAAAAGAAAGAAAGAAGAAAAAAACACATAGAAAAGCCACAGATGCGTAGAAACAGACGGCCGTTTTGTTAAGGGGACAATGGATACCTTGGGTTCCATTAATGAAAAAAAAAGGAAAAAAAAAGAATATGAACAAAGATT